ATGAAAACAAAAATAGCTGAAAAACCGTGTTTGCTATCGATCTCTTATGTCATGTTGACGATACTGCTACGAATGCTGTTTTGTTTCACTTTTCTCACTTTCTGCTCCATCGAAGTGATCATCAGCACGCTGACTGCCAATGCTGGCGACGCCATGGAACGCATGCGAGAGCGGTACGGTGTCAGTGCAACCTACCTGCTCAATGTATTCATTTACTGATACTGCCAACGTGGCGCAATTACCAAGTCAAATCATAGTCAACCTGCCATCATCTTCAGATAAAGCCCGTCTAAACATGATCGACTAGTCAACCGTTTTTGTTTTTTTATTTGGGCTATTATCCACGACCAACATGAAAGCATGAGGGTGCTCAAATCTTTTTCCTTGTTTACCAAAACAAAACGCTATAAAAAGAAGTACCATTTTGCAGACGTATGTTGATCATCAAACTTATTTTTGTTTTTAAATACTTTATTCTTAATCATGTTTGGTTTTCTCAATCTTGTCACGCTGGCGTCTTTTGCAGCTGTTGGCTCATTAATACTTGCAGAGCAAATGAATGCTGAAATCGCTGCTGGTGCCAAGCTGGAGAACATCGACCAGGATATAACGCAAGTTGAAAACTCACTTGGCGAAGTTCAGAACTTGTTGGAGCAGATTGAACAAGACCCAGAGCAGAAAAAACAGTTTTCCGAGCTACGGAAACACGTTACGCTGATTCGAGATCAGTTGCATACAATTCAAGAGGAGTATCATCTGAATAAAGACCTCGACAAGTTTAACAATCGCATCAATGAGTGGCACGGAGAGGCTCGTGACATTGAAGAGCGACTAAAGCGAGACCTTGAAGCCTTCCACTATGAAGAGTAAAAATCAGTGTGAATTTTCTGTCTATCTTGTTTGAAATGTCAGTTTTTTAAATAGAAGTTTAAATTCAAAAATATAACAAGCACATTAAACGTGCATCAAAACAAACCTTGTGTTTTCTCCGGAAGAATACGCTCAAATTACTTTGTATACACATGTGATATCGTTCACTTAATTGACGTCACTTTTAGACGATATGTTTGGCAGTAAAACGTGACTGATCAAAGTAGTGATGCACACAACCACACACTGACGTATATACTTTTTTTGGTAAAGATGATGAAGTGGATAGATTTGGTAGTAGTTGAGAATGGGGCAGTGCTGATTGACACGTAAAAAACTGTTGCAATGAAATGCAGTGCATTTGCAGTGCAACGACTCTTGAAAACAGGTGTGCACTATGCACCTGTTTCTAGAACAACTCAGCATTATCCGTTTGAAATCTCATGTTTTGATTGGCTATTTTGGTTTAGTGATCTCTAGTAGCAATTGTGAGTTTGTGCACGTACAATATTTTTAAAAATGAACATGGGAAGGTGTTATCGATTAGGGCTAAGGGCAAAAACAAATGGCTGTGATAAACTTTCTGGTGCTTTCAATAGGGTAGAAGCCCTAAGTGTGAAAATGTCAGCTAATGAAGGTTTTCGCTTGCTTTTGAGTGTGCGTTGCTTCAGAGACGAGAAACTGCTACTGTGTGACAGGACCATGGTACAAAGTCTGTAAATGATTGGAAATATTCAACTAGCAAAATACTCCATATCGCAGTTGCTGATCAATGATCAATGAAAACCCAAATGTTTGTTTACAATTAGCCGGATACACTGGACAAAAAAGGATGTTTTTAGTAAAAAAGGTTTTACCTCGGTTCTTTTGAAAGAAGCTTTAGAATTTTAAACGGCAATAAAAATAGTACAAGTGTGCATACTAGTGTATGAAGTTTCGAGTAACTTGAATAATATTTTCTCATAGTAATCAGTGCTGACAATCGAGAGTAGTGATCGTTTTCGTCTCCTTGTGACGATGGCTTGATTGCCACTGGGCCACAGTAGACTCGCCTTGCCCTCCCTTCCTCTGGTTATCAGCCATTTTGACTATCAGAAGTGGGTGATGATGGCAGTGGCAGACTGTGTGAGCAGGGGGTGATATTGGTAGATTGGCATTGTACATTGCTGGGGAAGAAGCAAAACACCACTTGGAGTCGTCGGCTTGGAAAAGCACGCGGACAGCAAAGTGGTCGGTTTCAGATCGACTAGCACCTCTGAAGAGCGCCAATACAGCAGACTATTCGCCGATGTCTAATCTCGCCTGTTGTTACTCTTCAAGTAGTTGGCGGTGGTTGTGATGTACTGCTCACTTCATCGCCACTGCAATCACCCATCATCATTTGGTGCCACTGTCTCAGTGTCTGACCAGTGCAACAATCATCGATTAGCCGTGACTGCTGCAGTGCAACTCAATGCGATCCACTGCGTGATGACGGCCAGTTTGGTGCCTGGCAAGGAAGATTCCCAGCAACTCCAGCATTCACTCCAAAACTCCTGACACTTCCACCAGACTCCACTAGTCAATACGATTTGTTATTGTTTGCAGAGCATTGCTTTTATACTTGTGAAAGTTTTCTTTTTCCACTTTACCTTATCTGTTTCTGTCCTTACATTAGTTTTTGGCTCATTGAAGTCTGCCAGTGATCACTGATCAGTTCACACTACCATTCACCAATGTAGCATGCTTATGACTCACGTTTTTGACAACGAAACAGCGTCGTTTTTCTTTTTCACCTTTTCTTATCTGATAAGCATCGTCTGCCATTGNTTGACACTTCCACCAGACTCCACTAGTCAATACGATTTGTTATTGTTTGCAAAGCATTGTTTTTATACTTGTGAAAGTTTTCTTTTTCCACTTTACCTTATCTGTTTCTGTCCTTACATTAGTTTTTGGCTCATTGAAGTCTGCCCGTGATCACTGATCAGTTCACACTACCATTCACCAATGTAGCATGCTTATGACTCACGTTTTTGACAACAAAACAGCATCGTTTTTCTTTTTCACCTTTTCTTATCTGATAAGCATCGTCTGCCATTGAACCTTCATCTTCTCAATGTTTTGTCGCCACTTTTCCGCTATTCACAGCAACAGTTTACGCTTGTTTGTGTCTTCATTTGCTTTTGGCACTCTCCTCAAACCTTCCTGAAAGAATCAGACACAGATCAAAACAATCTTCTTCTTTTTCTTCGTCACCTGCGTTACCTTCCCGTTGGCCATTTTTTGTGATATCTGAAATCTGTGATTGCTTGATTTACATAATTTAGATGACACTACTACGACTTTTGGTAACTCAATGAACTTTTTATTGTAGCACACTTCATTACTGACTTTTTCTTCCTTTCCTATCAGTCGCCCAATCAAAGTTGACTGCATAAGCGGTGTTTTGAAGCAGAAAGAAAGGGCATCAAAGATGGCTTACAGCATATCCCTTCACTTGGTACTGCTGGCAGTTGGAGTCATTCTCCTGCAAACACTGCTCGTTGATCCACCCACCATGGTGGAGGCGTACACTACCTTTGAGATATCAAAACACTGTCAGCGCCACCAGCCAAGCAGAAAAGAGCGAGAAAAGTTTACTCAAGATTTTGGAAAGTTATCGAGACAGATCGAGTCAAAGTACGGTCTAATTGTGCCCGATGCAGACACTGATGGTGCCGGAGAGGACGGCGACGATGACGGCCGACTGCAGGTGTCCAAGTCGATCATTGTTGACAATGTCGCCGACGAGTCGGCCGTTCGAATAGTGCTCAGTGCTGATGAGGCCAGTCGAGAGCGGCAACACAACTGGCAGCGGTGTTCACTCTTTGTGGCCGCAAAGAAGCCCAACGGTCTGATTGTCACCATTCGGAAGCTGCATTTGCGCTCGGGCATCGACTGGCTTCGTCTTCTCATCAACAATGGCTCATTCGTGCGAGAGTTCTCACACGTCAAAATTGACGATGAACGGGACTCGGTCGCCTACGTAGCCAACCACGGCGTGTTGATTGAACTGCTCACTGGCTACTCTGCCCTCTCGCCGCCAGAAGAGATTGAAGTTGAGCTCATTCTGACCAACTTCAGAGAAGCCGACCTCTGTCTGATCGAGCAGGAGTTTGACTGTGGCTCCTTTCGATGCATCTCCAGTGTGTACCAGTGTGACGGGGTCAATAATTGCGGAGACTCGCGAGACGAGGCTGGTTGTCCAATTGACAACATAACCAACTACATCATCATCAGCCTGCTCATACTGCTTGCCGGCGCCTTCACCATCCTCTGTTTCTGCTACCGATGCTGCTGCCAGAGTGGAAAACAGTCGGGAGGCAGACGAAATGCGTACTCCAATCGAGCCAAACAGTACCAGTACGTGAAAATTCGCACCAGTAGTCTGGCGGCACCGAATGGCATCATCAAGCGACGGACCTCTTCCATTGCCTCTGAGTCTGACGCTATCGGCGAACTGCGACCAGGCAATGTGGGCGCTGGGGGTGGGGGTCGCATTCGCTACAACAGCATCGCCACCAGCGACAGTGCACTGCGTCGTTTCAAGTTGACGCACATGGCTGATTCGATGCCCGTTCTGGTGCCCAGTGCGCCGCAGCAGTCGCTGGAGGGAGCGAAGTACGGCAGCACTGACAGTACGTACATGCACCTGCCCTACCACACCTACGCCACCGTGCAGCTGGGTCCCAGTGGATACGGGCTCATTCCGGCGCATCACATCTTTGCCCCGAGCACCAGCCGAGTCGCCCACTACAGTCCGCCCTCGGGCACAAATGGCCGACAGGCAGCAGCGGCTGGCACTGCGCAGAGCAGTGCTGACACTGTGACTGGGGATCAGTTGGGCACATTCCCGCGTAGAACGCGACAGCCCTCCTATCCAGTGCTTCATCCCAACCTCTTCACTCCACTCTCTCCCCCACAGCCTTCAACGGCTCCACCGCCCTACACACCCCCAACATACACCTCTCTAACAGCACCAGAATCTTCACAGCAGCCACAAGAGACGGAGAATAGTCCCAAACAGCCACCGACAACAAACTAATCAAAAGCAATATACTACATTTCTTTTTGAAATATCCATTCCCAATTGGTATTGGCTACCTCGTCTATTCATCACCATCAGCATGATTTTTACTATTTTGTACATTACTCATATTTTTTACCTTTTTAATGTAAAATTTCACTACATCATTCCCTAAACTGTACTAAATTAAAACATGCTTTTATATTAGTAAAAGTTGTCAAAATGTTAGTTAATTTGTCAATAGTTGAAGTAACTCCAATTTTCAAACTTGTTTTTATCATACTTTCATTCATTTTATAAGTGCCAAGCATGGTACTTAATGAGATTAATTAGCAAGGCGAGAATCAATTCAATAGTCAACTAATTTGGCAGTGGACTCTACTCGCTCTTTTAGTAATTTGTACAGCTGACGTCGTCGTCATTTTCACATGTTGCCATAGAAAAGGCTGTTAGTTATCAACAGCAACGATGAGACTCTTTCAACCTATGTGAGAAGCATGTAGAAATGAAAGACTCGGCTTCGATTAGATTAGCTTTGTGTGAACTGCCTGCTGATGGTTAGAGACTACTCATTGGAAACCTCTTGTACAGCAGACTGCATATTTAATTCACTAGTGTCCTCTGCGGCTGCAAACAGTAAATTTCATCATTGCTGCTGTCATTGAAGAGTACTGCATCAAACTTACTAGTTTCATTTCAAAGTTGTCTTTCATCCTATCAGGACAATGCCTTTTATGCAAATTTTTACCACCCTTTCTCGATCACAAGTGCCTGAAAATTTGGGCCAGATGGCTGCCGTTGCTTTGTCCAAGACGCTGCGCAACAAACCAATTGAACGAATCTGTGTGCAAGTTGTCACAGATCAAATGATTTTTTCAGGTACAAAAATTTTCTAATTTTACTTCCACTCATCAAGTATATTTGCCCATGCCATGACAAAGGATCTCAACCTGTGGCCAACGGCCCTTCGGCAGTTGCTGATCTACGCTCAATTGGCAGCTTGAACCTGGAAGACAATCGAAAGACAGCTGAGGTGATCACCGACTTGCTGCATCAACAACTGAACATTCCTAAATCAGAAGTTCGAATGTTTTTTAATGATTACAAACCAGACATGGTTGCCATGGATGGTAAAGTCATCACTGATATTTTGGCTGGAAAATAAAACAGTACATTTCCTCTGCACTTAGTCATATGAGGTGATTTCTGTACTCGTCATAATATAAAACATTTGTTGAAAAAAGAGAGAAGGAAAATAATAAAAGTTGATAAGTTTGTCGAGATACCTCATTGAAAGAGAAAGAAAGAAAGACTTGATAATAGCATCTCATTTAGTAGAGCCATCAACTGAGTCACTTTTGTCCTATGTTAGCGTTAAACCTATGCAATTAAAACAAAAAAGAAATAGTCTCAAAATGCCATTCATGCAAATTTGTACAACCCTTCCACGAACACAGATACCTCAAAATTTAGGTCAGCTAGTGTCTATTGAGCTGTCCAAAATATTGCCAAATAAATCAGTAGACAAATTCTGCGTTCATATAATTCCCGATCAAGTAATATGTTCAGGTGAGTTTAAAATGAAAAATAGCACTTTTCCTTTAAACTATTTTTGCTTAAACAGACTCTCAAGCAGGCATGTCTAATAGTTTGCTGGCAGTGGCAACTTTTCGAGCAATAGGTGCAGTATCAGCTGAGGATAACCGAAATACTACCAAAGTAATAGCTGACCTCCTTCACCAACACCTAAACATTCCTCGTTCAAAGGTGCAAATGTTCTTCTACGATAATTCAGCGACCATGTTTGCAAGAAACGGCATTTTGCTGGCAGATAGAGAAAGACTAGAACAAAGCTGCGATAAAACTGCTAAACATTTATAAAAGAAAAAACAGATCAATACAAGTTTGCATAGCAATAAATAAATTACAAGTAAAAAAGCTCGCACCACAAGGAACGAATGAAGCTTGCCAGGGTATCAATGCGACATTAGTCTGCCAATCAAAAGGATTGAGTTATGTGTGACGAATGTCAGCGCGAGGTGTTAACAGAATAAATAAAGTCAATAATTAATAGACATTTGCAAATTGTCAATAATGAAGGCACCATCGGAGAAATGTGTGTTTGCTTTGAAGTGGGATTAGTTGAAGTCCATATGAGGTTTGAAATAGGTAGTCGCAGTTCATGTTACCGAGATCCGGGACCATTTCTAAATTCACTGAGATTTCGGTACGGTCCATGCTGTTGCTGCAGCTGCTGTTGCTGAAGCTGCTGTTGATGCTGGTGGTATGCAGGAGGTGGCATCGGTGGTGGGATTTCCGTTGGGTATTGTGGGTGATATTGCTGCGGTTGCTGTTGATGCTGCTGCTGTTGGTGCTGCTGCTGTTGATGCTGCTGTTGTTGATGCGGCTGTTGTTGATGCTGCTGCACCTGTTGTTGCTGAAACATAATATGGGCAGGGAGGCCGTGTTGGGTGTTAGCTTGATACGGACCACTAGACTGCAGCGAAGCCATTGGCTGTGCTGAAGATTGCAACTGCTGCGATTGCGGCTGAAAGGAAGCGCCATGATGAACCATCGGCGAACCATACTGTGAGTTGACCTTGTAAGGATTAGGCGGCGGAACTGGAGGTACCCGAGAGGGTTGCTGCTGTGGCGGAAGAGGCGGAAGTGGTGTTTGTGCTTGCTGCTGAAAAGAGTGATGCTGCTGTGAGAGAAACTGGTGCGTCAGTTGGTGAAAATTGGCATCCAACTGCTCCCTCGTCTGAGAATGAGCAAAGTGGTTGTTGTTGTTGCTGCCGCTTGTCGATGTGCTAATACTCATGTTGCTCTGGCTGTGGGCATTGCTCGAGTGAGATGACATTGGCTGGTGACCACCGGTCAACTTTTCAATTAATTCATTAAGCGGCGCCAGCTCACGTTTGTCGATTAAATTGAATTCTTGCACAAAGAATATGAAATGCTTAAAGCTGGTGTTCAGATGCGCCTCCTCACCAAGATCGACAACCTGGCGGAAATGCTGATGATAAATGTGCGCATAAACTCGAAAGAGTCGCTTAAAGATGGTTTTCGCAATTGAATTAAAGTTTTTCGGAAAAGGCACACCTAAAACAAAAAACATTTGATAAAGGTTGTTTAACAAAAATAACTGAAATACCAATTTTAGACGGAAATATCGTCTCATCATCAAGCTGATCTTGAACCCAGGTCATCAAGTAGTCAATATATTTTGGCGCTGAACACTTGATCGGCTTCTTCACCGTGGTACCGTCCGCCCAGTGGTACTCATACTTTGGTCCTGCGGACATCAGAGCACAAGACTCTTCGGTGCAAAACTCGGTAATAGTACCGTAAAGCATATTGATTTGATTGAAGAAGTCGACGGCTACAAAAAAAATGACAAAAAGAAAACGTTAGCAAAATTAACCGCCACAAAAGAAAGGACAGCTTCTCGCACTTACTGTTGACAGCTACCCACTCATTGTTATCTTCTCCCTCAGGCAGCATCACTGCTAGCCTCAAGTTCCCCGATCCTAAGGTTGCCGCGGCGTGCTTCATTAGGTCGTACTGGTGTGTGCCTTCAGGAATGTTTTTCTTCGGTTTGAACGTTTTGTTCGAGCGACCGCCACTAGTGGGAAAGAAGACAAATGAGCAACAGAAAACCAAGGCAACCAACTGCTGCCAACTCACAACAAGAAACTCATATTGAAGGGCTGCAAACCAGGGCTGAGACGATCATGCAACAGTTGGTAGCATGAGAAGGACGAAGAGGAGGATGGCGAAAAGACAGCAGCGCTTGGACTTGGCAAGTTGACCTAGCTGAGCACAAAACACAGGTAGAATTACTTCAGGTGTGACTCATTGACGGTGACACTGAGACGGCACGCACCTGCTGGTGCTGGAAGATTATGAGGATGATGGCGGTGGTGGTAGTGGGGAAAACAATGCTTTGTGCACAGTATACAAAGAACGAGAGCGAGAGCAGCTCACAATTGGGCCAATTGGTTGGTGGACCGACAAGAGAAGAGTAGAACAATGAACAAACGTTAACTGGCAACCAGCGTATGATGGTGCAAGGGGAGAGGAGTGCGCCGAGATTGCGGACACTGTTGCTCTTGGCGGTTGCCAGTCCTTCTGTCAGAGGCTTCTTTTTCGGCTGCCGATTAATAATAATGGCCGGATTGCGATCTTGTTAATTAAAGTTGCCCACTAATTAAAAATGGAAAGGGTGACATTTGCCGTGTTTGAAAAAGTGGCAAAAGATTGTGATGGTGGTGGTTAGCTAGGATGCGACCACCGGCAAGTCACCTCATCTCGCTTCACCGCCGAGAGCAATTTCAGGTGAAAGAAGTAGCAGCAAGTGTAGTACAGTCCAGGTGGGCTGTCCTTCCGAACCCACTTGACAGACTGCCGCTACCTGTGTGCTGGAACTTTGAGGATACACTATGAACACAAGTCCAAGAAGTGAAGAATGTTTGCCTGATGATGGGGCTGCTGGTGGAACCCGATCAAAAACAGAATGTGGCTATTTGCACCACCTTGCTCATTTACTCAAGTATCTTTGAGCGATCTTTTTCAACGATAGACTGCCCGATTAATTTGGCTTTTATGACTTCCGACACTAGGTACAGAAACTTAAACTTGTACCTGAAAATACCAAAGATTCAGCCAATGTAAACAGTGATTTTCGAAAATTCTAAACAGAATCTAAATCCACTGAGTGGGTGAGCTGAGAGTGGATTTTCGGTCTTTTGTCACTTTTCGATGAAGTGTCCACACGGCAATTTGCAAAACAAAGCTAAAGACGCCGATTCTCTGATTCGGTTCACCGGATGATTCTGCTCCAAGGTAAGCTTGTCCACTTCCAGTTTTTACAACGAGTGATAGCTTTGAACAAGCTACTGAGTTTTTAAGAATCTTGCATCATTACAATTAAGTGCTTTTACAAAAAAACAAGTTTGTCAGCATTTCAAATAAGTTTTTTTCTGATTAAACCTTTTTTCTATATAGATGGCCGAAATGATTGGACCGATTAGTGATGTTAGTGATTTTGTTGTTCGAATTCGAGGCATTCCATGGTCTTGCTCAAAAGATGAAATTGTTGATTTCTTCAATGGTAAGCAATTATTTTCGGACCAATTGATGTATTTATTCTCAAATTATAATCGTTTTTCAGATTGCAATGTGAAAAACGGCACTGAAGGTGTCCATTTTGTTCACGCGCATGAGTCTGGAAAGCCTTCTGGCGAAGCCTTCATTGAACTAGAGACCAGCGAAGATGTTGATAAGGCAAAGAAGCATACAATGGGTTACATTGGAACCAGGTTAAAACAAACTTCTCAATCTCGTCTTTGTTCTGTCGTTTTTATTTTAACTTCTATTTTTAACTTTAGATATATTGAAGTTTACGATTCTACAAAAGAAGAAATGGTGTTTATCTTAAATGGAGGAAAACGAAGCGAAGCAAAAAGCCACCGCAAAGAGGGTCGTCCACCTCCAAACTTTCGTAATCCGCATCAGTTTCAAAATGAAAACTTTGGCTTTATGGCAAATACCTGTGTGCGACTTCGTGGTTTGCCGTTCAGTTGCACAGAAAAAGATTTGTACGAGTTTTTTGACGGTAAGCAATGGCTTCAAATATCACTTGCTCTTGGGACAAGAGACTGGGATATCAAGCTGGAGAAGTTCTAGTGGATATTCGCAAAGACGTTATAACCGTCATCTAACATTTCTATTGTTATTCTCTTTCACTATATTACTCCAAGGCATTGAGATTGTGCCACACGGGATTAAGATGCCGCTGGACGGGAAGTACAGATCAGTGGGGGAAGCATATGTTAAATTTGCAACCACGGCTGATGTTGATAAAGCAATGTCTAAGCATAAGGAAAAGATTGGGCACAGGTTAGGAATCCATGTCGTTTTATGCACCATTGGTTGTTTTTGTCTAATGCTAATGCATTTCATTTGTTCTGTCTGCTTTTTAGGTTGGTGGGCAAAGAAATGGGGTTGCAGAAACGGGACAATTTAGTAGAGGCTTTAGTTTATAACTATACTTTATCATAAATATTCTAGATACATTGAACTGTTTCGAAGTAATCCTCGAGAATTCGACAACTGCTACGTCCCAGGATGGACTCCTCCACCACGACCGCCACCACCAGCCGATCGTCCTCCGTGGATGAACGACTATGGCCCCAGAGGACCAGTAAATTCATACCCGGCCTATGACTATGGCCCACGTTGGAATGATGGCGGTGGTCCTCCTTTTCAACCGCCTCCTCCGAGTCATCAATTCGACTACAATTACAACAGTTACAACAATTACTTTGGCCCACCAGGACCGCCTCCGTACGAAGCTAATCCCTGGCCTCCTTATCATTATGCTGCACATCCTCCCGGTCCAATGAGAGGCTCTGTCCGACCGCCTCATCGACTAGTTCCTTATGAAAGACCCCCGCCATGGGCAAGTGAACCGATGCGTCTTCCAGAACCTCAACTCAAATCTCCATCGCCTCCACCGCCGCAGCCCCCACCGCCACCACCCCCACCAGTCAGTAGGCCTTTGGGCAACAACTTTGTCTTTGTTCGCAATTTGCCGCACAATGTCGTTGAGAAGGACATTGACTTGTTTTTCCGTGTCAAGCCAACCAATGTCAAGATTATTCTCGACCCCTATGGACGCCCCGAAGAGGCCAATGTTGCTTTTGCCACCCATGAAGACGCAGTCAAAGCAATGGAGCAGGACAAACAACTTCTATGTAAGTACTATTCGTCAGTGCTGCAGGATTTGAATAATTTGCCTTTTCCATTGTCAAGTTGACAAGCAGGTGGATTTGTTTCTGTGCTCAAAGGAGATTCCCAATGCAGTCAATGGTTCTAGACAGCAGAAAGAGCCCGCCAAGAAGGAGGATGAATCTCCTAATTCAAACTATAATTTTGCATATTCTTACAAGGCATCTCCCAGCAATGGCTCCAATGGAAAGGAAAATGGCAATGCCAATCCGCCAGTGCCGTCACCGAGCTCTCAGCCAGCTCATCAGCCGCCACCGCCGCCACCGCCGCCTCTACCATCATCTGAGCCTGCAAAAGCAGGTGAAAATGGAGCAGCTGATGCCAAGGCTGCTCAAGATAACTTGAGTTACTTTGGAATGCCACCTGTCAAGTGGCCTAGCAGTACAGTAAGTCGCTTAAGGGTGGTTTACGGTATGCAATTTACTTAAAATTTCTCTTTACAGGCGCCAGGAGCTGCAGCTACTTCTGCTGCTTACCCTCCGTGGAGCGTTCCTTATTACAGCCAAAACGGCCAATATTACGGTTATGCGGCCTATACTTACCCGGTAAATCCGGCAAATCCTCCTGCGACATCTTCCATTCGTCGGGAGCCTGTTAATTATACCTCACGTTAGTTCATTTGCAAATTCTCACCAAGGAAAATCGCCCATTTTGCTGAGTGCATATGCTTCATCAGCACTATCCAAAGATTTTTCTATATCGCAGTTTGAAGGTAGAAAACGTTTATATTTAGTCGTTCT